TTGTATTTTGTTTTTTTTCCCAGTTGTTCATAACATTTGGTGAGTATGCGGCAAAATGGCTAGCTGCCCTAAAAACGGCCGCCTTCCGCGTAACAAAAAAAATAAACGCGAGGAGGGGAAAGAGCTGCCGCGCTATGCAATCGGCACGTCCGTGTACACCTCGTTTTTGTTCTTGGACTTCTTCTTCACCTTCTTGGTTTCGAATGTGTGCTCAAAGTTGGTGTCGTCGTAGCGGCTGTCGTTGCCGCCGTCTTTCTCGCCGTCTTTCTCGCCGTCTTTGTCGCTGTCTTTGTCGCTGCCTTTGCTATAGGGGTGTATTTTTCTCTTCTCCCTCACGGTATGATCAACGGGATAGTCGGTCGTGCCGAAGCTCCACGGCGCCGCCGCCCTGGGTGGGTCTCTCTGCGTGTTGCTGGATTGCCCCCCCTTATGTGTGCAATTTCCGGGCCTGCTAATAAAAATGTCAATGGTGAAGGGGTAAATGTTAACCTCCTTTCTGTGCGCAATGTCCAGGGATAACAGCGCGTTGGACACTTCAATGTGGAAGGTGGAGCTATCTGGAATGAACACCTTCTCCTTCGAGTTGTCCTTCTTCGTTTTGCAAATATAATACAAATTGTTCAGAGTGCCTTTACTGATGTATTTCTTCGGAATGATGTCTGTCTCGATTGTGTGCAGTAAAATGCTGTGCCTTCGTATGAGTAGCGAAAGCAGTTTGGGGGATTGCGTCTTCTTGAAAGCGTTGTAAATTAAATTTATATAAATGGGAAGGAAGTGAAAAATGCATTCCGAGGATAGCAAGCTCGTGATGGCCATGGGCATCCACAACACGCCCCTAATGTCGATTCCTTCACTATGTATGCTATTCTTTAAGTGTACAAACAGTTTGTCGAGTTCTTCTACATAATCCAACTTCCCCGCCGCAATTAATGCGTACGCGCAGAGATATTTGTTAATGACATATTTTTTTCTTGTCACATTCCGTTTGTTCTGCTTGTCCTCATACAGATTGTTTCCGCTCGCCACAGGGTGGTGACCTCCATCGGGGAAATCGCCACTTAGCACAACCGCATCGCCATTTCCGTGTGTGTTGAAATTTTTTTTTTTTTTTCTTTTTTCGCTCTCCCATTGTACGTATGACCCCTTCACCTGTACAGACATGTCGTCAATTTTTCTTTCTCTCTCTTCCAAATAATTGTTTATCTTTTCATACGCCATTTTTAACAACTCAACATCTCGAATCCTTACTTTGGAAAAGGCATAGATTATTTTGATAATATCAATAGAAGAGAATGTATGGAAGTTTCTCTTCATATGATCACAAATCGTTTCGTAAAAACTGACGTCCTCCAAAGAGGCGTCCGCGTAAGTATTTACGATGATAGTGATCTCATTTGGCGTATACGTGTGAACATAATTCTGTACATACTTTGCCAACATGAACATGCAGAATTCGTCGATATGTTTGCACGTCCCGATGGTGAAAATAAAATTTGTTATCATATGATGTGTCATTAGCTCCAGATTTTCGCAGATCAGATCGGAGTGGGCATACAAAATGTTGCTGTCTATGTGGCTGAAGAGATATTTCGCCATGTACACTAGCAGAACTTTGTGCAGCAGGATGTTCTTGATGCTGAGCAGGTTGTTCGTTATGTGCTGGCGGTGGTCCTTCCTCAAGTAAAAGCGACAGTCGTCGCTTTGGGCTATGTTTTGCGCCCACTCCTCGTTTGCCCCATCTACCTCGTCTCCCTCGCCGTGGAATGCGCAGTCTGTACTGCCGATTGTCAATCCGGATGCCGCTCTCTCGAGTGATTCGACTTTAAGGCCAAGTGGGTCCTCCGTCGGATGGCCCGTCTGCATTATACTCCCATCCGTGGCATCACTCCCAATCGCGGTTTCTCCCCCCACGCAGAGGGGCTCCCCCGTTTCGCCTGACCTGTTCAGGTCGTTACTAATTTTGTTAATAACATTAACGTAATGGGACAGCCGGTTGATGATACCTGCGTAAACCTCCTTACTCTTCACTTCGTTGACGCACATAAGCAGCAGGTAGTCATACAGATGGAGAAACGAAATGGACTCCACTTTAGTGTAAATCCCCCGACACATGTTTATGAAAATGTCTTGCAGCATTTTTTTATTAACGTAAGCTTCATTTCTGTATAAAACTTCCGAACTGCCTGCACACTTGACGATGCTGCTTTTGTCATTTGACATGGAAATGTTGTTGTGGTGCAGGACAGTCAAGAGGAGAAGGCCATTTTTTATTTCTTGCGCGGACAAAATTTTGTAGTTAACTCGTCTCAGTATCTCTATAAAGGCCTTACTGTTCCGTTTGTGAACATGATGATAGAAGATGCTTGTATCCATGACATACGAGTTCGCTTCTGATCCGTTTGCTCTCCTCAGATTCACGTAAGTCAGGGGGAATAACAACGAGGAATAATTCACATGCTCCTTGCTTATCACTTTCTCTTTATAATTCAGAATGTCGCATTTTTTCAGTCTATAAATAAATTTGTGCATGTTGTTGTTGAGGAGGCCATTCATACAACGGTTGTTTCTGCTTGTTCGTATCAGTTCGTTTCTGTTCACTTTTGGTTTCTCAATATTGTGGATGTAGTAGACGTTGTTTGGTCCGGTTGTATGATGGCTCTCATTTGCCGAATGGAGAGTACTGGCCCTACTACCTTGGACTCCCCCCTTCGAACTTAAGAAATGCACCACAGACGCCGTGTCCACCACGTACTTCAAAATGTTGCGGCATTCCATCACCTCAGCAAGTGAGCACTTTCTCTTTAACGTCCCACTGGTTAGTAATTCATAGTCACGCATCAGCTGGGTGGCATCCTTTTTACTGTAAAGCAGATAGAATTTCCTTAAATCTGCTTCATTTTTCACATTTTCTATATCGTCGTACTTTCCCCGATCGTCCCTCGGCGCGCAGCTAGGAGCGCTGACGAAAGGGCGCTTCCTCCCGCCATTCCTTTTGAGATCATGCAGCAGCCCCGTCTTTCTGCTGCTACGCTTCCAGTATCCAATTCGCATCATTTACGTTGCGGATGTGTAGCGGCTATGTGGGCTAGTGGTTGCTTCCTCCCTATGCGATCCCACAGGGAAATTACACACATTAATTTATCTACACAGATATATACTTATCACTTCTGCTCTGCGAGATGGGAAGGGCTGAAACTGTCCCGCATTGCACAGTAGGCAACACGAGGGAGCAAAACCTCCTGTGCCTTTGCAGATTGGGTAGACAGTCGCATCAACGTAGGACTCGAAACAGCACAGGGCCTCGTTCCTACTTCCATCCCCCTTTAGATGTTACACCGCAAGTTCAGTTCAACGTTTGGGGGGTCTTACAGCCATTTCAGTTGGCTAGCTGGGAACAAGGGGAAGGATAGAAATATCTGCACAGCGGCGTTCTTAAGCTCTCCCCCAAATTTTCGGGGAAGTAGAGCCTAATCAATTCGGCTGGCCGCTTCGCTTTGGCTTCATTCGATGCTGTGGCATATAAGAACCTTTCCCCTCGCAGGGTCGCTAAGCGTCACGGCGCTCTACGATGCGACGCGGCTTTCCACCTCACACGCTGGGTGAGCCGGTTGTGTTTGCTGCGAGTTGGTGTGACAACTGTGAAGGGGTCCTCTGCCAGTGGGCGTTTTTTTCTTTCCCTTTTTATTATCCCTTTTTTATGATCTCTCTTTATTATTCCTTCCTGCTTCCCCTTTTATGTTTTTTTTTTCCTCCTGTATTATCCCCCCTTTGGGGGCACCTTCGTCGCCTCTGCCACTTCCCACTCCGTGCACGACACGCGCAATACAACTGGATGCCGCACCCCCCCTTTTCTTTTCCCCTTGCCCTTCATGCGCGTCGCAGCGAGTTGGAAAACAGGAGCGACGCGACAGAGAATGGGAACCTTCTAACCAGGTGCTGACGGAACCTTCTCCGAAGTGAGCAAAAAACGCTTGCAACTTGTTTGCCATTTTTCGCGAAAAAGGGGAACCCTCATTTTCCGCGGTGCTCATCCTTTCGAGGCATTCTAGGCATCTGCCATAACGCCCGGGGTAGAAAACCGCTACCTCCCCCTTCCATATTGTTAATACCGCCCAAAGGAGCCTGTGCTGGTTTGATTAACATTCTTTTTTTTTTCTTTTTTCTTTGTCCTCTCCACTTGGGTACTTGTTCCACAAAAGTTGCGTCGCCGTCCCTCTAATCCGTTTTCAATTTTTCCTACTCTCCCGATAGAAGTATCCATCGAAAGGATGGTTCTGGTGGATAGCCACATTGCGTATAGGGAACCACCCCTTGATACAATGACCTGCAAGGGGATTTAAATCATCTGATCTGATGTATTTCAGAGGGATAGTTTTAGGAGGATGTTATATTTGTTTGCCGAACTGGGGTATCTTCTTGTTAGAGTCCCTATCTGTTGCTCTCTCTTTGTTTGGACCCCCTCCAGGGATTTTACCTCCCCTACGCCAGGACAGGTTAACTCGGCCGTCCTTCTCCACTGCTAAGAATCTCACCCCCGCTGCCTCTCCTCTCTGCACACAATGGAGGAAGGAAAGGCAAAGTGTCACATCAAACTGAAGAAGAGCGATCAGAAGAATAGCAGCAGGAAGAGGAAGACACTAAACGTGTTTGAAGGGTCACATTATAGCCAGGACGAGGGGAAAGATATAAATGAGACAGAGGAATGGACATCTTCCAGAGCACAGAAAATTAGGGGCATAAGAAATGGACAAGTTATAGCTGAGCCAAGGAACGATTTGGAGAAACAAGCCGATTCCGCAACATCTCATTTTATTCGTTCCCTACAGGAGAAGCTTGAGCGAGTTCAAAATAAGAAGAAGATTGTTTATTTGAATTTTCCTAAAAAGAGGAAATCCAGGTTAAGTGCGAAACACTCTGATGGGGAACCTGTCCTAGTTAGCAGCTCGGAGGCTAAGAACGTGGGTGCAGGCCGAATGGAGGAGGAAGGACCTAACGAGATGTCAGCAGGTTCCTCGGATGGACGGGACTCAAATGATGATTCGCTGGAAGCGGAGGACTCAGCTGGATTAGAAGCGGACGTCGGATTAGCAACGGATGACGATCTAGCCGCCAACGGCGACCTCGCCGCGAACGACGAACTGACGGCCGACTTCCACCATGACGCAACCCAGCGAGGGAACGCGCAGAGGTACCACATCTCAGAGGAGAGCCTGACGTATAAGAGGAAACTCTTCCTGGAAAAATTCAACAGAAACGAAAAGGACTCCATTTTTAAAAATGAAATGAACATGTACACAGATTTCGATGACCATCACATAAAAGTGGAAAATTACGGGAAACGTATTCTCAGCAAAATGGGATTCAACGAAGAGGTCTACAATAAGTACATAAATCAGTACTACCAGGAACGTAGCGACAAGAACTACTTCGATAGGATATATGACTCCTTCCAGTCTCGGGAGTTTCGATTCACGGGTGTGGGCGCGGAGGAAGAGATGAGGGAGAATCTGCAGCGGATTAGGGGTAGCGAGGGGAACAGAAGTAAAGGCGGAACTAAGAGCAGAAGTAGGAGCGGAAGTAGAAGCAGAAGTAAGAGCGGAAGTAACCGCAGAAGTGGGAGCAGGCAGCAAGGTGATAAGCCCCGTGACGGGGCCCAAAGGAGCAAAGGTAAAGAGGAAGACCCACACGGAGCCACCTGTGCGGACCCCAGCCCGAGTGACAACACGGATAACCTATTCGAAGGACTTATTGTGAAAATTAATTTAAAGACTCATGAATTTTACAAACGGAGGGGGGTCATAGTATACACCAGAGGGAGGAGCAGATGCGGAAGGAAAAACAGTGGGATGAACACTGGGGGGGCGGACCAATCCAGGTGCATCCTTGGCTTACTGCTTTTTAGAAGCCACAAATATATTCATCTGTACAAAAAAATGGTTAAAAAAAAGATAAAGGACTACCTGTCGTGGAAGGCTGACAGAGCAGGGACAGACAACACAAGGGAATACGACATTGGAGAGGACCACCTTGCAGACGACTCCAGTGTGGACAGTCGCCAAAACGAGAGGAAACAATTTTGGGAAGTTTTCCTTAAACAACTCCTAAGAGAGATCAAACTTGACAGGAAGGACGAGCACCGGGTCAGGAATAACGAATCGAAACAACCATTTCACCTTACCGAAGTGAAGTCGAAATATGTCGAAACGAGCATCACGGAGGACACGGTCAAATGTAAGGTCGTCGGGAGAAGTATCTGCCTCTCCAAGGGATCCATATCTTTGTATAAACAGACCGTGAAGCTGAAGAAGATCAGGGGTGATCACGCACACGTCCAAGTCGAGGGAGGGCACCTCTTGAGGCTCTCCTTGGACGACATTTGCCAATACATAAGCCACGTGTGATTGGGGAAGTGTCGCGGCGCATCGTGCGTGTAGTAGCTCTGATTGCACATTGCTGCGCGAGGGGTATACTGCTCCGCTGGCCCCTGCAGCACTCTTGCCTCTTTTTTTTTTTTTTTTTTTTTGGTCCATCAGAATTAACCGCGCGCAGTGGGCGTGCTGCTAATTTGGCATCTCCCATCCGGTAAGGAAATGCTGCCCCCCCCTCTTTTTTTTTTTTGTCCACTCATCTTCATCTGACCGCTCTCAATAAGAAGGCGGGGATAGACCCCATTTTTAGTGCCAATTCTGCAGGTTTACTTTTTTTTTTTTTTTTTAAAGCCACTGTTGACAACTCATTTGAAGGAAGCCCACTTGTGTGGAAGCTTGTCTAATTTGATTTAAAAGAAAAATTTACATTTTTTGGTCGCACGAGGAGATGGATACGACAGACGGTGTAACCTCGGTCGACTCGCGAGACACGAAAATGAAATCAACGGTGGAATGGACGGATAAGGCGAATAGACAAAAATGAATTGACGTGTGCAGGTGGTTAAAACAAAAATTTGCGCAACGATGAGGCGCACAATGGGGAGAATCGCCTTAAGCCTCTTAAAAAAAAGGTAGCACACAGATAACAAAAAAACGAAAAAAAAAAGGACGGGGAGCGGGGAGGACTGCCACCAGGAGGGCCTCATATAATGAGTACCCCAACCCCTTGCCCTCTCGGGAAGCAAGCTGCCTGATAACTCAGCGCAGATCGTTTTAATTACGTTAAACGTGCACATGCGTATGGACATAAAAAAGGGAAAATTGGAAAAATGGCGGATGAAAAAGGGGGGAAGGGGAGAGAGAGACCAAGTTATTTGACTCTGCTTGGATCTATTTTGCATCCTTCTCGCTGTTCACCCTCTTCTGCTAATCCTCTTTTCCCTCCACAAAATCGACCCCTCAGAGGGAGACTCCGAGTGGAGATCCCCAAACGGCACGAAACAAAACACACGCTGTGAATGCGGAAGGAGAAAAGGGGGAAAAAACGTGAAAGAGCCCGCCAACCGCACAAGGAAAAGTGGGCGTGCTATATGCGACTGGCAAGGTGCTTCCACACAGACACACTTTTTCCCCCTCGTCACAACTTCGTCACATCTTCCCCTCCTCCGTTCCGCTGCCTAACCTCAAAAGAACGACTTCTTCATCTTGATTAACTTCTTCTCTATTTTCATTCTGTTCAGAATGAGGGGGAGCTTCTGGAAGGTCATTTGCCTGCCCTGCTGTATGTACCACTCCACGTCGTCGTAGTTTGACACGCTGATCAATTTGAAGTGCCTGAGGTAGAGCCGCTTCGGGTGCAGGGTGATGTCTCCGTTGTAGTTCTGCGGGGGGGTGAAGTGGAAGCGGAAATGAAGTGGAAACGGAAGTGAACAGAAAACGGATGTGAGGAAAATGTCATAGGAACGGCCAAGCGGATAGCATAACAGCTGCTCTACAACAGCTTCCTTCCTACCTGCATCGCGATCGAGCCTGCGTTCAGACCCCGGATCGTAGGAGACAAGTCCAACAGCGCCATCAGCCTCAAAATGTATCGCATGTTTTCTTTAAATAATATTTCCATAGAGGACATTAAAAATCCAGCCCTCCAGTGTCCAGAGTTGCCTCTCCATTTTACGGGCTTGCCTGCTTCTCCATGAACCCGAACCCCTATGAAGGGGAACACATGGGGATTCACCTGCGAAACGATTCTGTAGTTTACGGATAAAATCTGATTCAGATTATGGGCCGGAATGTCGCTTTTTAGGGATCCATCATGAAAGTACGTATTCTTGAACTGCACGCTGTTTATAATGGTGTACTCCTCGTCCACAAGATTTATATTTTTGTATTCATTAAGGTCGATGCATTCGGTTGCTTTGTTCTTTGGTTGATCTGCTTCGGAATGTTCCTCCTGCTCGTCTGCGCCACTCGTGCGTGGAGGGTGCATCCCTTTATCCTTCCTCTTCTTTCTCCCTTTTGCGTCATCTGAGCACCCCGCCGAGAGGAATTTGAGGCGCCCGCTCGGACCGCTCGTATCGTCCGAATCGCTCGTTACACTTGTTTCCCCACCATCACCGGCTGCACTCGCCGCACTGACCCCGCTGGGCCTCCGCTCCGTTTGCCTCAAATGGCTCCTCCGGTTAAACGCACTATTGCTATTAAGAATAAACTTAGCATTACTCACCTCCTTAACAGACATGAACCTATGTACGTTCTCCCTGTTGTATTTTTTCTCCAACAATTTAAATGGTTGCAGCAGGTAGGGAAAAGAGCAGCTAGCCAAAACAGCGGTATAAATCAACACATTGGGGCTATTCATATAATTTAAGACCATATGTCCGTCTTCATCACATGGGAAATTGGTATTTCCTGATTCTGCTCTGGTCACCGTTATATTTAAGACCAGATTAGTCTTAATGAAGGCCTCCAGAAAGGTCATATCACCATAGAGATTATGAATCAGATTAACAATCTTATCGATGTCGTAGAAGTTTCCCTTTCGGTAAATGTTAAAAAAAGAGTAGAGCCAATTTTCTGAAGAAAAACAAGATACGATTTGATAAATAAATTCTATGTTAAATTCGTGTAACAACTCTTTGTTCGTTCTAGAGCAGACCCATGCTGCGATGATACTTCCTGCGGATGTCCCGCATATGATTTGCGGCAGAATGTTGTCTTCGAAATTTGGCACGAAACCCTTCTGTTCATTTGAGAAGGGGATACTACTGGAGGGGCTGCTTGAGGAGCGATTTTGTGTGATCTTCCCTTCCCTGAGGCGGCTATTGAGCTGGGGGAGGGCACGACATTCACCACTTCCACTTCGTTCATCTGTTCCATCCTGTCCATCGCTTCCATCCCGTTCACTACTTCCCACCGTTTCAGCGCCCCCCTCCTCCCGCAGCGAGCCCAAGTCCAGCTCGCTCAACGAGGAGTTGCTTGTGCTGAAAGAGAACTCACCAGAGCTCCCCTCGCTCGAAGGAGTTATGGACGCCCTTCCGCCACGCCGCTCCCCCTCCACAGGGGCGTATCCCGAATGGTTGCCAGATCGGTTACGGCTAAAAAGAAATTTCTTAATTAGGTCTATTTTGCTCGTCTTTCCTTTTTCTGCATTTGTGGAGGTCTTCACATCCTTCCCTTTGGATGGCTTAGCACCTGAGGGGGGGTTCCTCCCTAAGAGGGTTTTCCCCCCTTTAGTGCTGCGCTCGCTCCTTTTTTCCGATTGGGTTCCTTTATCTTTGGGGGCGCACCCCACTTTGCACGCCTCCCTGATGTGTGCACTCTTCTTCTGACTTGGCTGACCAGGGAGACTGGGTTGCTTCTCCTTCGCAGAGTGATTCTCCTGAGTGGGCTGCCCCCCCCAGGCTGAGCACTCCTCAAAGTAGTCTACATTAATGGAAGATTTTAGAAAAACCTCCAAGACGCCAAAGTGGTGGAGACCCAGGATGGCACCTCCGCTGAAGAACAAGGCAGTATTTCCCCATTGCCGAAAGACATCCTTAAAAATCCTCTTAATCAATAGATACTCATCAGAGAAAATGTAACTAGAGTTCGTCTCCTTCTGTCGATGTACATGCCGATCGACAAACTCCAGTCCCTCCATCACATGCGTTATAAAATCAGTCACTATAATGTGTGGCGTAGAATAAGTTTTGCAATAATACTTCTCCTTAAAAATTGCCTTCATTGTTGGTGACGTAGCGACTTTTATATCTTCCAGTAGCCTCAACACATCACTGTTTTTTAGACTTTTCTTTATTCTCTGGCTTGTCTTTTTCAGTAAGTTCACATCATACGTATTTATATAATCGTCATTCTCATTTATGTGAACAGTCTTCCCAGTCAGTTCATCCATTCGATAGGCATACTTGATGTATTCTTTGTAACTGTTGCATGACCGCATCAGGCTCTCTATCTTAAAAATGCTTTCTTCTGCTTTTTCCATGCCTTCTTGGCCATACATATTACCAATGGTTCTTCTACTTCGTTTGCTATCCGCCGCGTCACCTCCTCTCTCCCCACTTGACTTCTTCCCCAGAGATCTACAAAAATCCCTGTACTTTGTTATGAGGAAAAAAGACACATTCTCGCAAACAAAAATACAGAACCTTATGAAAATGTATATAAAAGCGTTGAGGGAGAATACAAACATCAGGATGATAAAAATGGGCAGCTTCAAAAAATAGTGTGCACTGAGCTTCTCATAGTCCAACTTCTTCTTCCTCTTCTTTCGCTTTTTGTTTAGCGAGTCTAGACTGAATTCGGGCGTTTTCATTGTGCCTTGGCATGTGTCACGGGGTGCTGCTCATGGAGAAGAAGCGGAACAGGAAAGGGAAGGCGGGGGAGAAGACGGCGAAGGAGACGCAGAAAAAGTTCCTGCATACCCGTCTGTGCAGCTGTATCTTAGTATACATCTGCTCTCCCTTCTCCTGTTCAGGGGCTGCACGGCGACTTAACAGCGGAAAAACGAATTTGCAAAACTGGTGCCTCGCCAGGCGCGACACTTTCAGGGGAGGCGCACTCGATGTGCTCAGCTAATGAGTGATAAAGCGAAATCAAAAAAGAAAGAAAAAAATGAAAAAAAAAAAGTCGTAAGAACAAAGCGGAGAGAAGAACAAAACGGAGAGAGAAACAAAACGGTCGATAAATCCACGAGGAGGGGAAAAAAAAGGGGGGAGATAAACTGGGGAGAAAGTCACCCACACAAGTTTCAAACCGTAGGCACATGACCTGTATGAATGGGGCGTTATGCTTACATTCTCTCTTTCGCGTAATTCAGCGTTGACGCTATTCTTTTATGCGTTATCTGCTCAAGTTGGTACGGCCTGCGCGGGGAAGTACAAGGAGCCGTTCTTGCAGGTGTGCATACGTATGTGCGTGCTCGCTGCTTGAACTGGGATAGCGGCGCGCAGATGTAGGCACCGTAGTACGCGCAATGGTAGGTACAGTAGTACGCGCAATGGTAGGCACAGTAGTACGCGCAGTGATAGGCGCGCGTGTGCTCCCGAGGCGTGCTCCCCCTACACATAAACCCGCATACGTGCGCGGAGAGCCCACAGGGAGTTATCACTAAACAGGCGGTTCATCGGTACGTCTTCTGGAGGTGCGGCTTAAAAAACGGCTAGCCCCTACAATGCAGGCAACAGGGAGCGAATTGGACGAACAAAAAAAATGGAGAAGTGACAAACGGAAACGAATGCGAACAAATAAAAAAGACGAAACGGAGGGAAGTAAAAACTTTCTTCCAGGATGGCAAAACGATCGGCGCACAAAAATAAAAATGCCCGCTCTGCTGCGCGGCGCATTATGGAACAAAAAAAAAAAAAAAAAGCGGCAAGCAGTTTGAAGTCACATTAGGCTGAAGGAAGCCATCTGGAGTAAAGACTCAGGCGCTCAATTCAAATGATGAATTGGAGGCACAAACATACATATCGTTAAGAGGCAAACTCCGAGGCAATCGCCGTCGCAGCCGCCATGGCATCGCAACAGCAGGGAATCCACAGGCCCCTACAATGCAGGCAACAGGGAGCGAATTGGACGAACAAAAAAAATGGAGAAGTGACAAACGGAAACGAATGCGAACAAATAAAAAAGACGAAACGGAGGGAAGTAAAAACTTTCTTCCAGGATGGCAAAACGATCGGCGCACAAAAATAAAAATGCCCGCTCTGCTGCGCGGCGCATTTTGGAAAAAAAAAAAAAAAAAAAAGCGGCAAGCAGATTGAAGTCACATTAGGCTGAAGGAAGCCATCTGGAGTAAAGACTCAGGCGCTCAATTCAAATGATGAATTGGAGGCACAAACATACATATCGTTAAGAGGCAAACTCCGAGGCAATCGCCGTCGCAGCCGCCATGGCATCGCAACAGCAGGGAATCCACAACAGGCAACTTAAAAAAAAAGGTGTCCATTTGGGTACTTGCATTTACAATCCTGCAAAATGGCCCACGTTTATGTATTCATTTTTTCAGTAGGGACAGAAATACGACCATCTGCGCCCCACCAAAAAAAAGCAGCCAAAGTAGTGGAAAATGAAGAACGGTATGTAGACCTTTGCCCCGCCCCAAAGTGAGGCAACAAAATGGGGCAAAAGGCAAACCACGGGGCTGTTTCCACAGGGGGCTAGGAAGTCCGCACATGACTATGCAAATGAGTATGTATATGAGGGTAAAAGCATATTCGTATTGGCTATTCCAATGGTGGAGGGGAAAAGAATATCCTTTAGTACTTTCACGTAATGGTTACCCCCCTTTTCAGTTCTTTTCACCGTTAAGTGGAGGGAAATTCATTGGAATATGTGACGCTCACCCTGTTCACGTTTGAACAGCTGCGTCCTTTACGCTTTTCGCATGCCCGTGTTGTGGAAAAAAAGAAGAAGAAGAAAAAAAAAAAACACTTTCGCGCATGTGTACAGATGAACATACAAACACGAACATGTAATTTTACATGTACACACTCGCATATCCGTACTCCTGTGCACCCTAGCGCGATCTTACACAAACGATGGAGGTTAGAAGAGGCGAACATACAAAACTAATTCGTAAGACGTAAAAAAGGAAAAAATAATGGCAGTGGAGGGGAAAAGAAAAAATTTAACAACTTAAAAATTCACCTGGGTATTTCCGAAGCAGCATCACGCATAACCGATCAATTTGCAAATAAGAGAAAGGGGGAGATAATAGGCATGATAATCTGCGTTGGGTTTTGTTCCCCTTCTGTATGTGCTTCCTTCAAGGGGGATAATAACTTTTCCGCATTTCGATGTTTTACACGAGAGTAAAAAGATGAGCAGTGGAGGGGTTTCTTTTTTTATATTTTTTCCTTCTCATTCCATCACGTTTGTTAATTTTTTGTCCCATTTGGCTACCCCTTTGAAAGGTTAGTATTTTTTTTTTTTTTAATTAACATGTTCAGGCAATTTCTGTACATTTCTGTCCCCTGTTGCGAAAGGGTATTTTAATTTTTGGCAGGAGGTGGAGGACGACGACGAGGAACAATACGAGGTGTACCAAAGGCACTTCCTTCGAGTGAACGTTGATTACACGTGTGTTCGATGGTGACGCAAACCTCATGGGGGTATAACACTCCAACGTGGAAGTGAGGGTTGACAAAATGGTAGGAGGCAAAAGTTACCTTGCCGGATCAAGCAGTCTGTGTCCATCCGGCTGACACCCACCCTTCCACACACAAACACACGTGTGTACGTTTGGTAATTTTTTGCCAATATTATGGGAAGACGTAATGCGGTACAATGTTGTGGTGAGTTATGGCCACCCCCCCTTCTGTGTGTCCGGTTTAATTGTGTATTCCCTAATGTGGCACGTGATGTGCCTGGCTGCCCCAAACGGATGCATGTCCAAGTGCACCCAATTGTGATGTTACTCCGGGTGCGTCAACAGGTGACTCACATGTGTGTATATGCATATGTATGCCCTTATGTCCCTCGTCACATGGGCGCAATTGAAAAAAAGGAGCATTGGGCCGAGGGGTGCGGGACGTCAGTTTAACAAACCTGTAAGTGAGCTGAACCGATTTACTTCCTCCGCCTTGACTTCCCAACCAACCGAGCATCTCTCAATAATGATTTAAAATGGGGTTGCAACGCGTGGCAACCATTGGGACGTTGTGGACGGGCATATAAGCAAGTGGAGAAAAGGCTACCAACGAACCGCCATCTTGGCCGTATCTTCAACGGGATTTATCACGCAAAGTGGGTACCTGGAAAAATTAGCCAAGTGCGTGTACCTAGCCGGGTAGATATATAAACGGATAAGAACTGCTGTGAGCAGCTTCCGTGTTGGTTTCCTTTTAAAGAACTGATGTGGGCACAGTTTTCCGCGATGCCTACTGCTCTTCTAACCGCGCGTGTGCGTGTGTCAACGGATTCATCTAAATAGCGACTCACGCAACGGTTACATTCCCGTTGGAATTAACGCTGACGTTGTTATATGTTCCTTGGCACCCATCTGCAAGTCTTCAATGGGATATGCCCCTTCCACTGGGAAGTCGCTCAACACAACTGTCTCGACTCCACCCCCCAACGTGTACATGGAGAAGGAAGGGGCAGATAACTGGTGAGTACCCCTTTGAATATTTGCGAAGGTGGAATAATTATGTCCACCATTGAAGGGCTAACATTCAGGTGATGCAAAACGGGAAAGTTGAATTCACGTCATGGGCGGGGGAGTGGCACACAAAAAAGAGGAATTATGACGAGAGAAGGGGAACAAAAAAAAGTTCCTGCTTAGCCAATATATAGCTTAGCGTGATGCTTTTCTCAACTTTGTACTGGGCAGTTATAAATACAAATAGGCCAGTATCCTCACGGGTAGTAAACCTCTAACCTTCGGCGAGCGGAGCCATTTGTAGCGGCGCGGCGTATACGATGTACCACGCGGGTTGAAGAAGTTATCCGAAGTTAGCGCCGCGTCGAAGGGGTAACAAACTCGCACAGGAAAAATATCTGTATATGTAAAAACGGTCATATAGGTATATGTACATGTAAAAACGTGGATATGTATATATATAAAAATATATATTTTTTTTTCTTTCCCTTCCGACGAACTCCAAATAGTCAATCAATCGACTGACAGGCGCAACTTCTGTTCCCATCGGAGTGACGTGAAGAGGCAAACGCACAAGCGCTTTTATTTTTCCCAATAAATAAATATGCGCAGTGGAACATATGGTATTAATATAATATCCATAATTTTTTTTTTCTTTTTTTTTCCCCCTCTTCGGATTTTTCATGTTCTCTTCTTTTTGAATGACTCAGAAATGAAAATTGAATTCATCTAACTTTGCTGCTTTTTTTTTTTTTTATTCCTTGATCGTAATTTTTATATTTTTTTGAGTTTTTCTTCCTTCGAAGGGCAAGTATATACATATATATACGTATATATACATATGCGCTTATATGCATATGTACATGGTCATAATATACCTTCGTATATCCATTCGTGCGTGCGCGCGTCATTTGGCAGGCATGTGAAGGTGGTACTTGCGCGAGGTTTTTCACGTTACAAAGCGGTCATTTTGCGTGCCATTTATGAGTACCGTTTTGAGGTACCCACTTCTGCTTCCCCACTCTTGCGTGTCGCTCTTCCGCGTGACCATTTTGGGTTTCACTGTTGACTGCACTTACGAGGTGAAGAGGGCTTCTCCACTCGTCAGCTGCATTTTACTCTGTCGGGCGATTCCCATCCTATACATGCGAAGCGGGAATACCAGGTGCATAGCAGTAAAGTAGCATGTCGTTTGTGCATCCGAATTGAATTACCAGAAGAGTCCCGGAGCCACACGTGTTGTCGGCATACCCCAGTTAACGCAACGTGCCACCGGAAGATAAGCACGTAGGACTGCGCCCATCAGGTTGAAGCGAGCCGAAGCGAATCGTAGCCAAACGAACCGTAGTGGAGCCTACCGTATCGCCCGGTCGAAGCAACACCAAGTAGACCACACAAAATGGAGCCAATGAACCTAGACCAAATGAACCACGAAAAGTGCGACAATGACGGGGCAAATTTTAATGTCCCTGTTGACGACATAAACAGTATCGATAAGGAGTTCAGCGATTTGCAGAAGTTGAAGGTGAGCCCGCCCACCCGGGTTTCTAGCCCCCACTCCTTCCGCATCTCACAGCACCCATCTGTATACCCTCCTCCCCCCTCCTGCTCTCTTGTTTGTGTACCCTTTTTACATTTCGCCTTATGTGGAATGGTCTTCCCCGTCTGCACAACCATGTGGATCATCCACACCAGACAGATGTATCTCTCTTACATATATGGGGCGACTCCATGGGAGTCTGTTCCCCTTATTGTTGTCTCCGCTTTACTCATTTGAACACCTTTTTTTTTCGCCCCACTCACCCCCGTCCAGATGATGAATGAAGGCGCAGAGATGCAAATGAACCAGTCGGGTGCCCTCGACTCGCACGAGATGGAGCAGGAGGAGATAAACAACCGATCCATTTTTGTTGGCAACGTAAGAATTAAAGTGATCACGTGGTATCGGCGAGGAGGCTGTATATATCTACTGTGTGAATGATGAAGCCAGTTGTAGACAAGCCACCGACTGTTGGACTCCATACCGCTCCACCACCTCAACCGCTTCCTCCCATCGTTACATTTACCTATATCGGCTTTTTCCCCTACGCACAGGTGGACTATTCTACGCAACCGGAAGAACTACAGTCCCTCTTTTCGGAGTGCGGCCCGATAAATCGAGTGACCATATTGGTGAACAAGAACACTGGACACTCGAAGGGGTATGGCGAGCAACGAATTATTTTGTGTGTACATGTGGGGAGGATGGTCGGTACGCGCGTTTGTTCAGCGCCCTTCCGCGTATATTTTTATTTATTTTATTATTTTTTTTTTTTACTTTATTTTTATTTTTTCTTTTTTTTTATTTTTCTTTTTATTTTATTTATTTTTTTCTCCCCCCCCCAGATATGCCTACATCGAATTCGCCGACGCGTCCTCCGTGCGAACGGCACTCTCCCTGTCTGAGTCCTTCTTCAAGAAAAGACAAATTAAGGTACGTGCGTGGGGTGACGGAAGCTATATCTGTTTTTGTATCCTTCCGCAATATGTGTGCACGTCGTATACATCCCTCCACCGAAGTGCATTTACACAGACGGGCAAACACACTTCCCTTTTTTGTCGTTCCACATCACAACAGGTTTGCAGCAAAAGGCGAAACATCCCCGGATTCAACCGATCGAAGATTAGTCCCTTTAGGGGTCGATCTATGAAGATGAGCCTTGGCCCCAGGGGAAGGTATGCATTCGAAATGGCGCCAACAGGGGGGTTGCCCCCTCATCGGCATGCACCTCACCGTTACGAAGCGTTAATATATGCGCACGTAGTAAGCGTACATGCATGCATCAATACATATGTATGTGTCTTCCCCCGGTGCAGACTCAGACAACCCAGCTTCAGACCCTTCTACCGCGGAAGAGGATCATACAAGAAAATCGTCACGAACCCCTATGAGCGGGCCTGATGGTGGTCCCAACTTTGTAGCGTTTTCAATTTTTTTTAAAGGCAAGCGCGCATGCTACATGTGTGAATGTTACGTGTGTGCATCCATGTGTGCTTGCTTGCGCGCCGCTCGCGTGTCCCCTTTTTTTTTAAGTACCCCCACCGTTTGCCCACTCGGTGGGAGAGCCAGAATGAAAAGCAAAGAAAAAGTATATGTAAGAAAGAAAGAGGATGCGAATGCTAACACGAATGGCTGTGTGTACGAATGAAGACGCTCAAGAGCGAAAAGGGCGAGCCAGGAGAAAAGTACCAACCATGTGGATAGCCCGAACCACTGACATAGGCCGCCGACACCCAACGACGGTGCTTTAAGCAACCCCGACGTATGCACCCAAGTGAACCTGCTTGCTGTTCCCTTTGCACCCCAATTTGAGTTTCATCGTTTGAGTAGCTTAATCCTTTTTATTGTTTCTTTGCCTATTCCTGCTCCTGCTGCTGTTGCTTTTTTTTTCCCCCATCATGTTCATTTTTATTACCATGTATGCAAAGTGGAGGTGCCTTCATCTGCGCGCGTTTGCCAATGCGACCTGGGGAGATGCACACATGGAGGCATGTGCATGTGTTGATTTGTGGATGCCTCGTTGTTCCCAATTTTTGCACTATGTGTTCTTTGAAGGATAAAAAGCTGCTTCTTCGTTTCCCCCGTAGCGTCGTATTTATTCTACATTGGTTGTTTATTTTTTTTGGGTGGAATCCCCTCTCCCCCCATTCACTGCCATTTCCATCGCCATTCCCACTGCGTATGCCCCCCCATTACATTCGTGTGGAAATTCGCATCGACATGTGAAGAAGTGTTCTTGTGTGCATGTAGAGGTGTGTGCTGTTACACTATATAAAGCTTTGCCGCACACCTAAGCACCAAGCAAAAGGAATGGTGTGTTTTTTTTTTTTCCCTTTGCATCGCTTTATTTTAGCTAGCTAAAAAAAGAAAAAAAATTAGTATCCCCATTTAAAAAAAAAAAAGCCAAACAGTGAACGGGAACAAAACGGCCAAAGGCAAAACGGCGAAAATGCCAAAAGTTAAAATGGCCCATAGCGAGAAGTTAAAATGGCAGATTGCCGAATGTTAAAATGGCTGATGGCCGAATGTTAAAATGGACGGGAGCCATGAATTCGTTGTGAGCCCCCTGGCGAAAGGGAAAAGCGCACGCATCGATTAGTAATAAGCAACTGTTGTGCTTTTGTCCTGTTGCCTACTTTGCACAGACACTTGTGGAAGGGTGTTATCATCCGTTACTTCACCTTGCTCATGTTGCTTAGCTTATTTTTTTGTATTAATTTTTTGTTTTTTTTCTTTTTTTTCCGTAGTGCTCACTTGCACATGTCTTCATTAACCCCTCCGAGTTAACCCTTTTAATGCCTCACTTCAACGTGAGCATCATTCAAGATGCTTTTGTTTTTTCCCCTTTGGAAAAGTACCAGGGTGGTATTTATTCTTAAAGCCACATGAATGTGCGCTCCCCGCCTCTGAACGGGTCTCTATTTGGACGAGATCTTTTGGATAACCACCCAGACCCACGCTAAGCCGTGCGTAGCGAAATTGAAAAGAAAGATGACATGGGAAAGGAAGCGACGATGTGGAATATGTCAGATGGGCCAGCTGGGAAAGGTGGACGGTTTGGTTTCTCTCTTGGTTTTCCTCTTGGTTTCCCATTTGGCGACCACCTTTTCGTGCGAAGTGCCAACCCATCACAACGTAGCTATTGGTCACCTCTGCACGTGTCCCGTCAGCTGCTTCTACACGCAAAAGGGAATTCCCACGTTGCGCTGCTGTGTTACCCATCTGATACGTACATATAGATATGCCCACGGTAAGGCCGCCTCCCCTAGGTGGATAAAAAAATATCATGCCCAAATTGCCCATCTGTTTTGAACTGCCCAACTGTTTACGCAAATGTGTGTAGATCTGTGTGGCTCTCCACCCACACTATCTGCGGGTGAACGTGTGCACACTTTTTTTTTTTTTTTCCTTTGTCGCCGCGGCTATATCCTACTGGAAAAAATAATCCCCTTTTGCATTACCAAAAAAATGAAGCACTCGATTGAATATGCACCTAGCAGTAGGTATGACCGTTTTTTTTTTTTTTTTTTTTTTTTTGCAAAAGGCCAGCGAGCGACGTGTCAGCAACCGCGTGATGAGAGCGCTCCAAATGGAATACCACCGCGTGGATCCCCCTACGAGCGCAAAGTGTAGCAGCTAGCCGTGATGCGGTTAGGCGGCGGCAGTGTGGAGAGGTTTATCACCCCCGTAGCAATCATCCCTGTTGCATCTAGCCCTGTAAAATGCCTACACGCTAAATCTCTCCCGATCACACGCGCTCGCTCCAGCGAGGCGCCCCCAGAAGAGGAAGAGAAAGCATGAGCATGGCGCTTGCCAGCCTGGCCATATCGCCCATCAAGCTAGAAGCATCGCAGCATCTCTTTCTCACAAAGGTGCGACTTTTTCTGCATAGCAGTGGACTCCCCCCAGGAAGTATCACCCCCGGGAGGGCCATCCCACCATTGACCCATCCATTAACATCCCCAAGTCGGCATATTAAGTCCCTCCAGAGGAGGAGCTTCGCCCAAGTGTTTTTAAAACCGACGATGACTGGCGCAGAGAGCGAGAAAAAAATTTACGGACAAGTGCAGGCGGAAGGGGAGGAACCCCCGGCAGGGATGAGCGCATCGGGGAAGGTGGCAAACTCGAAAGGAAGTAACAACGAGGGGAAATCGCAGTGCAAATCGGAGTGCAAATTGGAATGCAAATCGCAATGCAAATCGGACTGCCCCTGCGACAGCAGCTACGACTACGACTATGTGGTCATCGGGGCAGGGCCCGGCGGAATGGCATCCGCGAAGGAAGCAGCGGCACACGGAGCGAAGGTGCTCCTCTTCGATTACGTCAAGCCAAGTAACATAGGAACCAAGTGGGGAATAGGAGGGACGTGTGTTAACGTAGGCTGTGTGCCAAAGAAGCTGATGCACTACGCAGGAAATATGGGGAGTCTTTTTAAGCTGGACTCTACTCGATACGGTTGGTCTTGTAACGATTTAAGTCACAACTGGGCTAAGCTAGTTACCACGGTTCAGTCGCATATACGCTCTCTCAACTTTAGCTACATGACAGGACTGAGGTTATCAAAGGTGAAATACATAAACGGGTTAGCTTTTTTGAAGGATAAACACACCGTATCGTATTATCTAAAGGGAGACCTCTCTAAGGAGGAATCCATCACAGGCAGGTACATTCTCATCGCCACTGGGTGTAGGCCACATATCCCAGACGATGTAGAAGGGGCAAGAGAACTTAGCATAACGTCGGATGATATTTTCTCTAGGAAGAAGGATCCAGGGAAGACACTAGTCGTTGGAGCATCTTACGTTGCTTTGGAGTGTGCAGGATTTCTGAACTCATTAGGTTACGACGTCAGTGTTTCGGTGAGATCCATTGTCCTGAGAGGGTTCGATTCTCAGTGCGCGCTGAAGGTAAAAAATTACATGGAGGAACAGGGGGTCCTCTTCAAACAAGGAGTTCTTCCAAAGAAGTTAACCAAAGTGGAGGAAGATAAAATATCTGTCCTGTTTAGCGATGGCACCACTGAATTGTTTGATACCGTTCTCTACGCAACAGGAAGGAAAGGAGACATCGACATGTTAAATTTGGATAAGCTAAATATTCAAGTCAATAAAAATATGAACAAAATTATTGCCAATGAGTTTAGCTGCACTAACATTCCTAATATCTTCGCCGTGGGAGACGTCGCTGCAGACGTTCCTGAGTTAGCTCCTGTAGCTATCAAGGCGGGGGAAATCCTAGCCAGGAGGTTATTTAAGCAGTCGGAAGAAGTCATGGATTACACCTTCATACCGACGTCCATTTATACCCCCATCGAATATGGAGCCTGTGGGTACTCAGAAGAAAAGGCGTACGAAGTGTTCGGAAAATCCAATGTAGAGGTCTTCCTTCAGGAGTTTAATAACCTGGAGATATCTGCTGTGCATAGAGAGAAGCATGTACGAGCTCAGAAGGATCAGTATGACACAGATACGAGCAGCACCTGTTTGGCCAAACTGGTCTGCTTAAAGAATGAGGACAATCGGGTAGTCGGCTTTCACTATGTGGGTCCTAATGCCGGGGAAATTACCCAGGGTATGGCTCTCGCGTTGAGACTGAAGGCTAGGAAGATCGATTTTGACAATTGCATCGGCATTCACCCGACAGATGCTGAGTCCTTCATGAACCTCACCGTCACGCGATCATCCGGCTTGTCCTTTGCCGCCAAGGGGGGGTGCGGCGGGGGCAAGTGCGGCTAAGCTATGAAGAGAGAGGAAGTGGGTGTGCTAAGGTGGCGAAGATCACCCTTTTTTTTTTTTTTTTTTTTTTTTTTTTTTTTTTTTTCTTTTTTTTGGCGACATATGGGGAATTCTCCATTTAGACACCCTCGCCCCCCTTCGCCCCGGAAGCGCTTTAAATGGGCATTTTGGCAGAGGCGGGGTAATAAAACCAGCGGTTTAGCATTCGCGCGAAGGGTGTGACAACGGCAGTGGAGGGGTCGGGAAGTCTGTGAGTCGGCGAATCGGCCGATCGACCAATCGGGGGAGTTGAAGCAGTCCCACCTTCCCAACGCCGCCACTCCCCCCTGAAAGACCAGACCACGTTGTTGTGTCACCCAATTTTTGAATTCTTTGCCGTTTGCCCCGTGGCGAGAAGGTGATAGATTGGCCAAGTGGGGGAAAAAAAAAAAAAACCTTTGGCGAAGTTCCTTCGTATAGTTTGACGACTCTTGAGGCCACTTCAACGAAGGGGCACACCGCATGATCAGTGTGGCCACTCCCTCTGCTCATTACGTGGGTTTGTTCCTCCCCAATCAGGTTCACGCGGATGGCAAAAAAGCACAGCACATGCTTTCCGCGCTTGCCGAGGCCACCCCTACCCCCCCTCTGTGCATTTTCCGTGGTGTAGGAAAAACTGGACATACGGTCTCCCCTCCTTTTTCATCAATTATGGCACTTAAAGGAGAAATGGGCCTGTCTGCTGAGACAAACTTAACAGCGGGCTGAACCGTCTAGCCAAAGTGTGAATCTCTTAGTGTGGGCGACATATTTGAGAGGAACTACCGTGCGATCGTTAGCCAGGGGGTTATAGCAGCTGGGGAAGGAAAGTATCCCATCACGCGAGGAAGAAAACGTGCCTCATTTAGGTTCTTAAAAGGATAAAAACGTAGAGGAACATTTTCCTAACGGAGAAGTCCTCCCCCGTCCTCTCTTTCTAAAATTTGCGTAAAATTGCTATTCATTGTAGAAGTGGGGTTTTTCCTCAGTGTGGGTATATCCCTTTACGCTCTTTACTGTGTGTAGGTCTTCGCTTTTTCGATTAAACTTACCGACGTTGTATAGCGGGACAGGGTTTACCTCGAAGTAGCATCTCCTTCAGTTTGTTTTGAATTTCCCTCGTCTAGCTCATATGTTTGCCTAAACTTCTTACCTCGCCCCCTCTCATCCCTCCTAAACGCCATGGTCCTGATACACACCAAAACGGAGGAGGAGAAACACCAGTTCATGTTCGAAACGAGGGTGGACGTTTTAGTGACCCACTTGAAGGAGGATTTGGTGAAGCTCCACAATCTCCGATGCAAACTGCTCAGACTGATTGACGCGTCGATCCAGTTGGCGACCCATGGGCCCCTACGACCGGAGGCCATTCGGGGGATTACCGACGAGGTGAGTGGAAGCAGAAGAGGCGGAAGAAGCGGACGCGATGGGAGGAGTAACGGTTGTGAGAGGAATCCGTCCCCATTAAGTAAGAGACGCGTCTGCAAGACTACCCCCACTTAAGTTCCTCTTCCAGAATACACTTCTTTCCCCTCCCCTCCTTTTCTGTGTGAAGGAACTGCGACTGTCCAACCCTAATATGTACAATTCAAACGAAGTGACAAACCCTGATGAGAATAATTTCAGGACGGGGATACCACCACCCCGTGAGGGGGAACTTGAACTGAGGGATGCCATCACCAAGGTGAAGCGGGCACTTGCCGTGGACCAGGTACGGGTGAGAAGTGCATAGGGAGATGCACAGCGAAGTGAGCAGCGAACTACTCAGCGAAGCCCGTAGCGGACTGATCTCATGATCGATCCAAGTCACCACCGCCTGACGGCCACACCGCTTCTCAGACGGACAAGAGCATCACCATAACCCAGGACAAACTAAATGAACTGCTAAAATTGATAGTGGAAGCCTTGAACGCTTGCTACCCCTCGATGGAGGGTCTGCCCCCATACGACCCGACGAGGCTCCTCCTGGAAAATGAAAATGCCTTCAACGATGTAAACATGGGAGGGGGCCACCTACCGGCCACCCGCCAGCCAAGCAAATGTAGAGTGCGCATTGTGTGAATGGGGGGAGACTATCCCTCCACTGGGGGGGCTAAACCAGACTAAGGTGGACGCCTCTCCTACCCACCGCGTTCCACACCGCTTTCCCCGCCGCCTCCCCCACAGGACTTCACTACAAACGAAACGTCCATCTGGTGGGCAGGCAAAGAACTATGTGGCGATTCCCCCCTACGGAGTTATATAGGGAAGAATGAAAAAACGAAAATCATCGTAAAGCTCCATCCGACAAAAATGGGACCCCCCGAACGGGAAAGAAAAGTTGACGAAGCAACGTACAAAGCTATGTTGGCTTACTATCACAAGAAAAAAAAAGAAGAAAAAGAATTCGAGGAAGACGATGATGACTCTTACTTGAATTCTGAGTGGTCCAATCCTCTCAGCTTGCAGAAGTATCTCCACGGGAATTTGACCAACATCCGGTGGAAGCCCTAGGTGGGTTCCTCTCCCCAAGGGGGCTGTGTATGTGTCTGCATATCTGTGCCTATGTCTGCGCGCCAGCCCCGGTGGGGATTCATTCCCATGTGCGGTCTGCTACGGGAAGGCCATGGACCATTCGGAGGCCGCCCCACGTACGTACATACGTATGTGCATGTTGCGTTCGCCCCTGGGGGGGGGTTCCCACTTTAATATGATGAGCAGAAACGGATGAACATTGTCTCGATTTTATTTCGCTTGGTAAGGAAAACAATTTCTCCACTTTACTGCACTGGGAATGCTATCCCTCGATGGGGACACTGCCACGTCGTAACGCCACCTCCTAGCGCCGCTTCAGGTGGACTTCGTCTCTCCGCTCACCGCAAGATGAAGGAGGGCCCACAGAACGCATCATCGGATAGCACCCCCCCGAGGGGGTCCAACAAACGCGTCGACCGCATATTCTTGGTCTCTTCGCTGCTGCAAAAGGAACGGAAAAGGTTCTTCCAAATGTCCATCTCCACCGAGTGCACCTCATCAAAGATCTGGCCTCCTGATCCGATCAGACAGTCCTGATGGATACCCAAATTGATCTTATTAAATTGCCAAAAGGGGCCACCATTCTGATCATTATGACCATTCTTCTGATTAATTAACCGTCGTATGTTTGAGACGAATTTTCCGATGAACCCCACTGGGGTGTGTCCAGCACCAGGTAGGCATTCCTCCAGGGAGGTTAAAAAATCTCGGTGACTTCTCCTATTTCTGTATTGGGGTTGCTTCAACGGGTTAACTATTACTCTTTCCATTTCATCGTAATCGCATGACCACAGGAAGGACGTATGATGGACAAAATAATTTTTTGAAAAGGCTTGCGCATTCCCGCCAACTTTTCTCATCGTGATCTCATCATGCACATGGTCGTAACGGATATGTACATAATCATTTTCGTGATGGGAGAATATGTTGGGATTTTTCTTTTTTTCTTTTTCTTCCTCCCCGGAGAGAGAGTTAAAAACGGAATGATAAAATGAGTTGAACACCCATTCCGTCACGTTTGAAGGATACAATTGTCTTTCCACTTCAAATCGTAATGGGAGGATTAAGCTAAACATAACGCAGTTGTTCCTAATGTACACGGTGCCCCCTCCTGTGTATCTCCTAATCAGTGCAATTTTATTTTTACCAATGTACTCGACGTCCTTTATAAAATTAGGCACTTTCCCACTGATGCCGAAAACGACACACTTGTTTTCTGATGGGATGGATCCATGTCCTCCCCTTTCTTCCTCCTTCGCATTGGAATATGTATCATTGATCAGTACAAACCCGACGTTGTTTTCCCCCTGAGTGAGGGGGCTACTCATTCGATAGAGGCACTCCTCTAGGAGCAGCTGCTCGTACACATGCAACTTGGTTAGGTTTAAAAGGTACACCACCTTTTTTCTTTCACCGTTCGGAGCCAGCGGGCGGAACAACTCACTAACCGCGCTAACCGCCCAGATGCGCGAGAGGCGACTCATTCTAGTGGTGGAGCGACTCTGCTAATTACTCACGCGAGCCATCACCCTGGGTTTGCTCCTTCTTGGACCCCCCCACATATCTGTGAACAAAAAAAATAAGAAAAAAAAAAAAAACTTCCAATAAGATGCTGCTCAGAGAAAGGGGGGGTACCACACAAAGGGAATATATGTAAATGACCTGCTAACAAATTGACTGTCTCTGCTTTGCAGCCTTCTCAAGCAGTACCATCCCACCACGTTTTGTTCTTTCCACGTGGGATTCTTTTTTATGCCTGGCCCAGCTCTGCGATGCCTCCGAATCGGGTCAAAAAATGTCGTTTTTTGTTTTTTTTCTCCTTTTAAATGGCACTATTGCACACCACCTGATCGATGTTGCTAACATGCGAATTGTGCGGCTTAGCGGAGTAGTCTCTTCACCATCCTTTCGCAAAAAAACAAAACGAAACAAAACAACACGCGCATGGTTTTGCAGTGCCCAGAGGGGGGCGCAACTACAAACTGGCCTCTTCGCAGGCAAGGGAATATCCTCCTGCGTTTTCGTTACCACCTAGAGAGGTCTCCTTCTACCAATGAGCAAAAAGGTCAACTGCCCATTCCGACGCCTAGGTGAAAATCCAAATGATACAACACCTATTGAAGAGGGACAGCTACACATAAGTGCAACGACAGAAGTATAGTAAATTGTCTAGTCCCCTCTTGTTCAGGCCACTTTGGAAAAAAAAAAAAAAAAAAATAATACATGACGTCAACCGAGTTTGAAGCCTTTTTACGTTTTCCCTCAAATTAATCTAAATGATGTGCCAATGGAAAGATGCGGAGAAGGGGATCTTCCTACCTGCCAACGTTAAAAATGGGCAAACATTGTGCGCCCCACGCGTATGTCCGTCTGCATGCAGTTTATTGTATATATGAAAGGCCCCTTCAAGGTTGACAAAAAAAAAATAAAAAAAAAAAAAAAAAACGGAACTTCGATCACTTGGGGTGACCGTCAAATTTACGTAAACAGGGGAAAAATGATGAAGCAAACAAAAGGGGTATTGGAGGGAAATTAAAGAAGAGTTGCGCGCAACGGGTGAGTGGCATGACGAGTGGGACAGCCAATGGACCGGCTATCGGGACAGCCAATGGAACAGCTAGTGGGACGGCTAACCAAGTAATGAATCGATGAAGGCTGTCGCACCGTCGCATGACCAACACGGCGCGCATAGACAAAAAAAAGGGGGGGCTAATTATACTTCTGTGCCTGGACGGCCATCCGCAACTTATCCTCAGCGGTCAGGACCTTTCGCAAAATCAGCTCTCGAATCTTACCATCGTAAATCATGAAATGCTTCCACCCCTTTCCTATGTCAATTTGCAACTCATTCACGATGCAGTGCTCGGTTAAGAAGGCATTTGTTTTGCGCACTTTGCTCTCTGCATACTGTCTCACGTTGTCACTCAGGATTATGTGACGGTAAACATACTTGTCGTCACGGTAGAGGGCCGAGTAGCACACGGGGCCTTCAAAAGGGTGGAAAAAAAGGGGGGGACAATTTATCATATGGGTGCAGTGTGTGTGTGCGCTTATGCATGTGTGCGTGTCTGGGGGGAGAGATGAACAAGCGAGGTGTCTTCCGCCCAAACGCACCCTATTCAAGCACGCCACAAAACGAGATGCATTCTTAGGGTCTACCTCTGGAGGTAATCTTGTAGGTGTAATTTTCACTGGAGGATCTCAAAAATTCAAGGTTGAGATTTTCATCCATGCTATCCTTGACGGATCTAAATTTGGGCGTTTCCGATTTGCCTAGCTCTTCCAAGATGGCGTAATAGTCATCGTGTCCGCTGCCGTTCGAAGCGCTCTTGGGGCTGCTGCTGATGGGGTTGTTCGTGCCCACATTCGTGGCGCTGCCGTGGTCGGTGGCGCTCAGGTTGGCGCTCGCGTTAGCGTTAACGCGGTTGTTTATGCCGCTACATATGCCGCTACTTATACTGCTGCTCACACCATTGCTCACACCGTTACTCACACCTTTGCTCACACCGTTGCTACTGCGGCTCCTCTTGCTCCCACGCTTCGCACCCTTCTTCTCGTTGCTTTTTTCTCTGCTTAGCCGGTTTAGAGGCGTCCCGCCAGACCCACTCATATTTTTGCCCTATTTGTATTCGACTTGTTCTCACCAGTTTTACGTTTTTCCTACGTCGCATCTTATGAAAGGAAACGAATGGCTACGACGGATAGCAGGGAGGTCGCTTCACAAAAAAAAAAAAAAAATTTTCTCCTTTCCGACGGTCTACCTACTCCTCTTCTGTTCAGCTAGACGCCTCTCTCTCTATGGAAGCGAAAATTGAAGAAAAGGCTGACACATTTGGTATGAGAAAAAGAAAAAAAAAAGAAAAAAAAAACAGTGATCATTCTGTGATGCCCTCAATCCGATAGTTATAATTTTTAACTTTAATAAATTGCACTTAAAAAAAAAAAAAAAGGAAAAAAAATATTTTGCTCCACAAAAGGCACGTAAGCCCTCCACTTCCCCGCGCACACACACAATTATGCCAAAATATATGGACAAAACATTTATTTAAAAGCCACAAGGCCGTGTCTTTTTTGTGGCTAATGCTGGATGTTCGCTGCTGGGCGCTGTAGGAGAACTAAGAAAGTTGGACAAACTCGGCAAAACGTTCACTGCTGAATAAGTGCCTGCTGATGGACAAGTGCTTGCTCCAGCGCACAAGGCGATTCCTTCAAAGAGGAGAGTAGGTCCAGCTCAACGTAGTAACAGAAAAATTACAAACTAAAATGCGACACAAAAAAAGTAGGCTGCGAGGTTTTGGCGCGCCTGTAGAGATGTTCTTCCTCACTATAGTGCACGGGCACCTTTCAAATAATTTCAACGAAACAAAAACATTCGTAATTCGTAAAATGGCTAGCTAGGAAGTGGTTAATTAGCGTCCCTCCATTTGTCTGCACGTGTGTGTGCGAGAGACTGCGGTGGGGGGAGCCACACCTTAGTGACGCACACTTCACGACGCACGGTTCGCTACACTCGCAGGCAAAACGGTTCGGCCAGTGGGTACACTCCCTCTCGGTGGACGCTAGCCAAGGCTCAAATGGATGCTCCGACAAAGCAAACTCAACGGCGGTAGTCAATCGAAGCGCCGCTCAAACTGAGGTTTTTCTTACACAAAACAGATTTTGTACAGAAAAATGTATTCATGCCCCCCACAAATAGGTTCACACAATTGAATTCGCTGTTCTTGTTTTTTTAATTCGTCACAGCTCGAATGGTTTAGATGACCAGGGGGGCAAAACAAAGCGGTAAGGAAAGAGACAAACAAGGCGGAAAGTAAAACGCCAAACAAAGCAGAAGGTAAAGCGGCAAACAAAGAGGAATGTGAAGCGGCAAAGAGAGCGGAAGGTAAAGCGCCAAACGGAGCGGAAAATCAAACGGCAAACAAATGGGAGACAACTAAAAAGCGCGAGAGCGAAAACCCCTCTCACTTGCTTCTTCCTGGGCAAACAATTCGAATGAGGCCAGAAAGTGGTACAGTCAGTCGGCTTTACAATTGTTCATTGGCGGAAGGGAGCAAAGCCAGGGAACACACATAACACGCCGGGAAATCAAAATTGGCGCACGCTATTAAGAACAAATCAGGAAGGCAAGTAGCCAATTGTTTCCTCCAGGGGAAAAAAAAAAATACCCAGTTAGGACAAATAACAACTCGGAAAAAAGAACAAATCAAACAAAACGAATGAAGCAAAACGAAGGAACCAGAACGAAACAGTGCAAAGCTCAGCTCGTAGCAGCAGTGCACTACCATTCCAGGTGTGAATACTTGAGAAAAAAAAAAAAAAATCCTCCTCCGTGTGACAACGCTCTGATATGTGGTGTGTTGCACAAGCTTATCTGTGTGCCCCCCCGTTCGCCTGGGCAACACTTGCCCCCGAGGGGAAATTAACCCCTCCCCCCCTGGGGAAACAAACTCATCTCCTCAAGCTTGTGCACAGCACGTAAGTCAAATTGAGATGACATTCCTTCGTGATTATTTTAAAATTATGCACAGCTTGAGCGAAACGCAGAACAGAGTTTCCCCCTCCCCTCGGATCATTTTCCTTCTCATTTGTTCTTCCTTCATCAAAATTGGAAATGCGTCCCAAGGAGTAAAAAAAAAAAAAAAAAAAACTCTGGCGAAATAATTTAGCTAGTCATTCTGTCACATTTGTCCAACATTGTGGAAACCTTTTCTCTGTACAATGAGAGCCACACTGAAATGCACTTCATTCCTGCGAGCGGGTCACTAAGCATATGTGCGCGAGTGGCAGCGCAAAAAAGTTGGGTAGGCAATGGAAGACGAGTGAACTCTTCGGTAGGCCAATGGGGGGTTGCTCAGTTTTAACGGTTTTGCCATCACCGGGGAGGTTCTCTTTAGGAAGGTGCCCCATGGGAAATGCGGCAAATGAAATACATACGACGAAGCGACTGGCAGGAACAGAAGGTAAACCCCTTTGGACCCCCTCCCCCAGGGCGTACAATGCACCGCACTGTAGGAAGAGTGCGCTGAGGAAATCGAAATTTTACACAAATTCGATTGTGTTGTTGATTTCTCCGGTCGAATCATTGCCATTCAAAACAGGGGCATACTCTCCGGTGGGATATGCCCCTCAAAAGAAAAGAGGAAGGAATTGGAAAGAATACTGCGGGGCATACACCTCGGGGAGTTTTTTTTCTTTTTTTTTTCTTTCTTCCTATCGTCCATGTTGTCCAAAAGCGATTTGCCCTCCGGTTAAGAAAAACCAAAAAAAAAAAAAATAATCAACATAGTGTGCTGCGCAGAGAAACCCCCCATGCTGCGCAACTCACGCGGGAATTACCCCTCGGCAACGGGCACATAGAGACATACCCAGTACCGTGGCTCCACCGCATATGCAACAGCGACACTAAACAAAGGAGACAAGACAGGACAATACATGACATGTCATGATATGACAAGACGAGGTAAGACAAAACAAAACATAGCGCAACGTGAAGTAGCACAGACATATATGGGGACGGCCCCGGGCAGAAACTCTCTACAGAGATCTCAGTGAACTGGTCAGGAACTTTATTTTCGCGTCCATCACATCGCCATTTATCGAGTCACTCAAAATTTTAAACTCCTCGTGTACAAGATTTCGGGCGATCATCTTCCATTTTTTTTGGGCTTCTTTTCTCCTCTCAAGAAAGTTCAAAAAATTGTTTGTGCTCGTCATCTCCTTAACTAAATGGAATAACTCAGGAACACGAAAGGATTTACCTGCGTTCAAGTTTAGCATATCGATAGGTTCATTTATTTCATATGAACTGTTCATATTTTTTATAATCTCATTTATGTAATTTGGTATGCTCCCCAATTCAGGTACAGTCACCCAAGTGGAGGGTTCTGCCACTTGCGAAGCCGTCTGATTGCCTTCTTCTTTTTCTGTGATGCGGTTATCGTCACCATGGTTTTTTCCATCCGTACGATGGTCTTCTTCCCCCCTTACTTTTATACCACTCTGTGCATGCGAGCTTCTCCACCCTTGCGCACGTGCACACTGTTGAGGAGCGCGCCTCTCATAATTGACTCCGCGCGAATTGGCCTTATCCTTTTCTCTTTCGATTTCGTTAAATCCCCTGTCGCCGCGAAAGTGGGGATGGGTCATCATTTCCTGGATGTGACTGTCACCATATGTGTTGTGAGTGGCGTCTCTTGATGCGCCAAACCTTCTGCTTCGGCGACTGCTTGCGCGACTGCTTCCACGGCTGCTTCCTTCGCTTCTATCACGGCTACCACCACGGCTCCTTTCATTGTCGTCCACCTGATGACTCCCTGTGTATTTGCTTCTGTCTTCACGCCACCTGGACCCCCTCGAGAACTTCCCCTCACGGTCACCCTCACATTCCACAAGTGCGTCACGCACTGCAGAAGCTGAAGTGGAGCGACGTATATTCGCTTCTCCGTCGACACTGGGAATCCGTCTTCCCCTCTGAATCGTGGAGTCATATTTGGTACAAGAATGTTTACCACTCATGTAGCAATTTCGCCTGGACGAGTCATGCGATTCCGATCGATCACTGTGTGAGCCTCTTCTTTTTAAGAGGGAAAAATCACCACATTTATTGTCCACAAAGGAAGTGGCGGGATTTTTTTCCCCTCTGTATTCACTCTGCTTGTAGTTAGCAATACGAGTGGAGGGTGCAAACTTATTATGATTATACGTGTTACCGTCCGAGGAGTAGACGCTCACGCTCCTTTTCTGGGTGAAGGGATGGTCACACTCACCAGGGGGAGGCAACTTCCCCATGCAAAGCTGGCCGCTACACAAAACAAACTTCCGCAGTTGGAAATTTCTAAATCTGATCGGGACGGGGTCTCCTTTACTATGGCCTCCTGCCACGTCGGCCATATATGCCTCTACCGTCAGATCTGCCTCTTCTCCCGCTTCTGCTAAGACACCACCATCGTCGCTCATCCAGTTGGTAAAATCCGCATCGGACAATAACTCGATCTCCACAGTGCCATCAATTTCAACATACTCAGGAATTTTTTCTCTTTTCATCCTTCGAATGTTTAATTCGTTCTCAGAAATGTCACTGCCCATGTCACCATTGTTGTCGCAATTTCGATTTCTACGGGGGCTTTCATTATGTCTGTTTCCATGGTAGTCCCTTTCGTACATATGGTGGAGACCCTGATCGGAGCGCGGCTTGAATGCCTCCTTCTCTTCTTCGTCATTGGTATCTCCCTTACATTTGTTGAATCGCTTAATGTGGTTCCTTCCCCTTCTATGATAGGCTTCTCCGTGTGGATAGTAGCGCCTACCTTTTTCATATATGGCAGCCTCATCGTCCATATCGCTGCGATCCCGTTTTCTACTTGAGTAGTCCTTCGAGTGCCGGTTGTACTTTCCACTTCGCTGCCCCTTATCCGGGAAATAATTATCATAATGAGCTTCTGGTTCCTCCCCCCCAGTGGAGGATTCGTTTTCTTCATCTCTGTGGGGGTCTAACGGCTTTTCTATCCACTCTCTATTTTGAGTATACTCTTTTTTTTTTCTTTGTAAATTGGGGTCTTCCCTATCGTCACTGAGTTTTGCGCTTCCGCAACGAGATGAACCATCACAGTGATTCCCTTTAGGGGGCAGTTCCCTCTCATACTCTCCCTCTCCATGATAGTAATTCCCTCCGTCTTTATGCCATTCCTTCTTCTCCTTCCCTCCCTGGCATTTCTTCCTATAAGTGTTTGGTGAATCCTCCTCAGCAGGCGGACAGTAATGTCTTTTTCGCCTACTGTAGGAGTGCCTCTTTGGCTCGTTTCGGTTGTTGGTCCCCGAGCTCCTGCTCCTTCCGCTGCTAGCGCTTCTTCCTCTGCTAGTGCTTCTTCCCCTACTGGTGCTTCTTTCCCTGTTAGCGCTTGCACCGCTCCGACTTGATTGTTTCCCCCTTTGGCGAATTTTATTCCTTTGAGTTTTTCTCAACGTTGACTCGCGTCTGTACTCGCTGGATGTTTCGTCCCGCCTGCGCACTGACTCACCGGACAGGTGTGCGCCATGCGGTTCTCCTCTCCCCTCAACCACATAATCATTCGGAGTGTGTTCCCCCCGTTTGGCTTCCTGCGTTGGATACTTCTTCTCATATGACGAAGCGCCGTCGTAACTTCCTCTGCGTCTGCCGCGTTGGGTACGTTTATCAAATTTATCACGTTTATCACGTCCATCACTTCTATCACGTCCATCACTTCTATCACGTCCATCACTTCTATCACGTCCATCACTTCTATCACGTCCATCACTTCTATCACTTGCATCACTCCCATGACTCGCCTCCTCGTGGAAGCTTCCCCTCCCCTCCCTGGCATACTTCCCCCCATGAAAACTCCTTTTCCCTTTGGTGAGAAAACTTTTTTCCGATGTTTTCACACTCGAGTGAGAGAAGCTTCTTCTCCTCGTGGGTGACACTCTCCTCCGCTTCCCATCAGGATGGCCCATAAAGGAGGAACTGCCTCCCTTACTTTTTAATTTATAAATCTTGCTACCCTTATTTTTTGGCCTATGTTCATCAGCCGTGGATTCATCCTCCTGTGCGCCACTTCCCTTCTTGAGACTTAGGCTTCTGGGAATGCTGTTACTGCGAAGGTTTCGTTTTTCCCCAGGGGGGGTACTATCTCTATCGGAAGGGTACGGTGCCATCTTACGCATATTATATGTCTTCTTCTCACTCGCGTGATGATGGTTCCCTTGGTTTTTTCTCCATTTGTTTCCTTCCCCCTGGTGACCATCCCCATCGTAGATGTCTTGGTCACCTTCATCACTGGGGGTGCATAACGCAGGGGAGGATAATTCGTTAACAAGTTTCTCCTTTTTCGTCTTTTTCACTATATGGTATGTCTCCCCCTTGTTCATTACATAGTCGTGAATACTGGACGGAGTTCTGCTGGATCTTCTGTTCCGTTTGTGAGGAATTGCTCCTCCATTTTCTTTTTCCTCTTCTTTGTAATCCTCCCCCTCATGGTACTTCATATAAATCCTCTTATTTGTATTGCCCTTTTGGGCTACCATTTGGCCTACCATTTCGCTTCCATCCTCCTCCAAGGCTCCACTACTAAGTTGGTGCTTCTCCCCGTTTCGCTTCTCATGAAGATCCATGCTGGTGATCGCTTACTTTTGGGAGAAACATCATTTGTGGCCTATGGAGTGGTGGATCATTCGTCTGCGCCGTCTGGTCCCTGGCTCCTCTTGGTTCCCTCGTATGGTCACGTCGGATATCTTCTCCTTCTGAACGCTTTTAAAGGGGTTACTTATACCTACACATCCGCTTTGCGGCAAGAACGCTTGTTCTCATTAGTTGTTACAAGTTGGGCATTTATAATTACGTATTGGTTTTGCATTTATTTTTAATTCATTTTGCATTCATTTTGTATTTATTTTGTATTTTCTTGCATTTTTCTTGTATCTTTTCTGTATCTTTACTTTTTCCCCTTTTTAGCGATACAGCTTTGCCTTTCGTTGCCGGCTGCTAAGCTTCCTTTGTCAGGCGAGCATCTCCCAAGTGTCTGTTGGAGAAAGCGCCAATGAGAGAACCCGGGAAAATGAGAAAAAGTTTGATGTTTCGCGGGAAAACCGCTTTCCCCTGGCGCAGTTGCCCTCTCTGCCTTAATAATTTTTCCGCGGTATCTTCCAATGGAAAAGAAGCAACCACAAGAGAGAAGAAAAAAATATATATAATATGAATAAACGAATGGACGGATGAACAGGATGGACGAATAAATTAAAAAATCGCGCAGCGAGGGAAACATCTTTTTCCATCAATTTTTGGGCAAGCGCATGCATGTAGGGGGAAAAGAGGGCTGCCGCAGCTTGGGATGCCTTCCAAACGCTCTTAATTCCCGCGCAATGGGATGCTCATCGTATTGTGTCGCATCACGCCGCAGGACATCGAATCATTCGCTATAAATAAACAAGTAATTGTGGTGCCCTTTAGCGACGCTTTTTTTCTTGTCTGTTGGGGAGTAGTACCCCTTTTTTTTTCGTCCTACAGTTGCGAAAATAGAACTTCCAAGCAGAAGATGAGAAGACGTATAGGACATACGATAATGCAAGG